TATATATTTGAAAATATATCCTTAGGATACTTAGGATATTCGCCGCATCATGTTATGCTAGTCGTAGCGCCGCCTCTAAACGAAGCGTCGCAGGAACACATGGCTCTCTTAAAACTTCCAATATATATTTGAAAATTACTTCCTTAGGATATTCGCCGCATCATGTTATGCTAGTCGTAGCGCCGCCTCTAAACGAAGCGTCGCAGGAACACATGGCTCTCTGTTTAGCATTAAAACTTCCATTTTTCATTGTTGTGAATAAAATCGATTTAGGATTCTGCGATATGTCTGAGACTTTAGTTCAACTTGAGGATGCTATGATGACGCTGGGATATCCTAAGCAATTATTATTGTTTAGCAATAATGACATACCGTCATGGGACTGTACGTCTGATGTAACACCTGTACTTAGTGTCAGTTGTGTTACTGGTGAAGGTCTTGAGGAATTAACCGCGTTTATAAAAAATTTGGCACCTTACGAGATGAATTCAATCGATTCCGATCCGGAATCGTGTCTATTTCAAATTGACGAAACGTTTAGGTATGTAGGTGTGTGTAACGATCTCTACAAAGTTTATATTTTATGACTAATCAACTTTATATATGAGTCTTCAATATTTTACAAATCATTATAATTTTTACATATATCTTTAATATCTCGAATGTAACGCGGTTTTTCCACAAATGTTTTATAAATATTACACAAATGACTTTTTTATTTTACTGTGTATAGGGTAGCAGGTTTGACACAACCAGTTTTAGGAGGATTACTTGTTAAAGGGGCGATTGCACCGGGAACTCGTTTATTAGTGGGACCTTTGCCGGATGGAGAATTTAGTCCAGTGAGAGTAGTTAGTTTACATCGCAATAAAGCTCCGTGCTGTTTAGTTAGAGCGTCGCAAAGCGCCAGTTTAACATTAGCACCACCGACGAATCGTAGCCCTCCCCTACCGCATCTTCGCCCGGGAATGGTTTTAGTTTCTCCGCGTGATCGACCGCATGCGACACTGTTTTTTCAGGTGTGTGGTAAAGCTTTGTTGTATATGGTGTAAACTATACAAACTATGCTGTTAGTATAACGCTATCTAAATTCTTGTTTTTCTCGATCTTATCGACATCACCATTGTTTTTATAAACAATGGACTGATTTGCTAAGAATAGGAATATTCAAGATGGTCAGCTTATATACGATCCGACTTGTATATTTAAATACGAAATTTAAATACTGTAAATACTATGTTTCAGGCAACTGTATTAATATTATATCATGCCACCGCGATATTCTCCGGTTTTCAAACGACAGTACACGTGGGTAACGTGAGGCAGACTTGTGTCATTGAAGGGATAATGGATGTGAAAGATAGGGGACTGCAGACAAACGACACCGCTTCTGTATTATTTAGATTCGTTAGTCATCCAGAATATCTTCATGTCGGAATGCAACTCTTGTTCCGAGAGGGACGTACTAAAGGAATTGGCACAATTACGCAGATCTTTCCTCTGATTGGATCACAGAATTCAATCAAGTGAAAGAAATTACATGGCGCGATGTAAAATAATATCAGATATACAATTCTAGTATTTATATATATATATATACATAACTTATAAAAGAAAAAAAGGAAAAAGCGCATAAATATTTTATAAAAATAGAATCAATTGACGTTATTGATATTAGATAATACTGATATTAGATAACTAATTGGTATTAGTTGTGTTTTTTTATCATATGCCCCTCAAAACAGTTAGAGAATCACTTTGTTAGAGTATCGATATTAATATCTATTTATAGTAGGTACAAAGTTTCAAAATTTGTTTTTAGTATAAAATGTTTTAATTTTCAATAAATACGTTTATGTAAGTTCAGTTTCACCAAGTTTCTATTGCTTGTGTTATTTAGTTCAATCTGCAGAATTATCTAAAAAATGTGACTCTGTTACTGTTTTGAGTAGCATTTTAATGTGTCACATAGAAAGAATTTAGTTTTGTTTGTTACAAGTAGTCAGAGATTTTATTAGAATATATAAAAAAAAAGCAGAAAAAATAGTCTGTTTGAGAATAGGCATAAAAATTAGAAAGTTTTTTGGCCTATAAGTAAATTTTCATTATTATTTTGAGCAATGTATATATGTTAATACATTAAAAAAAGAATTTACTTTTGTGTGTTGCAAATATTTAGGGATGTTATTAGGATATATTAAAAAAGAAGGTAATATGCAGTATGTTTTTATATAAATGCATAGTGCATAGAATTTTTTTTTTTATTGAATAGGTCTTAACATAAAAATATAAAATTTATAAGATTATTTCTTTTATTGTTGTGTGCATATATATTTTTGTATAAAAATATAATGCCATATATCTCTCTCTCTCTTAAAAACTATAATGTGATATATATTATTTTAGTTATTTATTATTTTTAAATAATATATATATGCACATAATAACTATTGTAAAAAGATCGGAACCTGTTGAAACTTTAGAGATTTCAAGAGCACTTGTTTTTCATTACATTCTTGCTATGCTTTTGATAATGCAGTATCAAATACAGTTTTGTTTATCAAATCTGCACAATTCTTTATGTACCTCAAATTAAATTTGCAAATACATATATTTACAAATGTAAAAGAAAAATAATAACGACTGAGAAGATAATTTCTGTTCTGCAATAATATTATGGCTTGAAAATAAAACGACTGTCAAAACTCTTCGAGAGTATATATTTTTTCGGTTACTGTACAAAGTACCAATATGTATCATTAAATTCGATGTGCTTGAATCTGATGATTAATACACATGTTAGTTTATTATATTATACCATCTCTTGTTCCCTTTTAAAGAAAAGACTATCCGTTACTGTTAAGGCATTGAATGATTAATATAAATAATTGAGTTTGAGAATATATGATAATTCTCCGTAACATTTTGTCATTAATTTTTTTGTTTATTTCACGAAATTTAAGTATTTTTTTATATAACAGAATTAGAAATTGTTTAGAAAATTTAAGTAATAAAAGCGGCTTTTTTTCTTAAATAAAAGTATTTGAAATGGAGAGCTTTAAACTGATCAATCACAGGTCGCGATTGCCTATCTCGAGTTGCGCATACGGCGAATTAATTCCCGCACACTTCACGCGGTTATTAACGCTAAACGAAGGATCGCTTGTTCGGTTCGATAATTTACGGTATTTTCGCGGATCATATTCATCGCTCAGTGACATAAGTAAGTGGGCAGTTTTCTGATTAATTCGGTTAAACATTCTTTGATTGGTTTTGATTATAAAATACGTATAGAGATGTGTGACGAAATGTGTTCTGGAGAAGACGTTTAAACCTCTTATAAACATCGACTACGGTATTTTCGCGGATCATATTCATCGCTCAGTGACATAAGTAAGTGGGCAGTTTTCTGATTAATTCGGTTAAACATTCTTTGATTGGTTTTGATTATAAAATACGTATAGAGATGTGTGACGAAATGTGTTCTGGAGAAGACAAACCTCTTATAAACATCGATGCAGCAATCGCAATATCCAGAGCTCAGTGAGTGAATATATTCATTATACTTATTCAAGAATAATAGTTAAATCTGTGAAATTCACATCCTGAGAAAATATTTCTCCTCGGAATGTAAATCTTAACGTAATTAAATGCTTAAATTATCGAAAAATTAAGTAATAGAAGTCTGCATGTTTTTATCTCAAGTAATAGTTTGCGAAATTTAAAGCCTAAAAACTGACCAATCACAGCCTGTGGTCGCCTGTTTGCAACTCGCGCGCACGGTAGATTAATTACCGCGCATGCTCGCTCACTTCACGCGGTTATTAACGCTGGACGAAAGACGAAAGATCGCTCGTTCGGTTCGATAATTCACGGTATTTTCGCGGATTATATTCATCGTGCAGTGACATACGTAAGCGGATAATCTTTTGATTGATTTTGATTAAAACTTTTGTGTTTGAATTTGACTGTATAACATCAATATGATGAAATTTGTTTCAGACAAAGCAGCTTCTTTTAAACGTTGATACAGCAATGCAAGGGCTGCCATACAGAGGTGGGAGGTAGGGTGAGTGTTACTGAATATTATTCATTATGCTTATTCTTATTATTTAAATTATGAAATATGCTTATTAAATTTGCGAAATTTATGTGATCGGAGAATATATATTTCTTTCCAAGATGTATAATGTATCGTAATTAGGTGCTTATTTACACTGACGTTGATTTTATTATGCTATAAAAATTTTATATTTTTATATTACGATTTATTAAAAAAAGAATCGACTATGCACCTATATAAAAACATATCTGTTTTTTGAACATATCCTTATAATATCCCTAAATATTTATAACATATAAAAGTAATTTTTTTTTTGTGATATATATTGACATATATACATTGTTCAAAATAATAATTAAAAATTTATTTATGGGCCAAAAAATTTGGCAGACGCTTTCACGTCCATTTTGGATTATTATATAATATAATCAATTAAGTAATAAATATACACGAACAATATATAATGAGAAAAGGGAATGCACTTGAAATATTCATGAAATATTTTTGTTTATTCTGAGCAAAGTACAAAACACTTTTCCAGCTTAAGACCTAACAAGTTACATTTGCAAAGTTATTTCTGTGTTTTGCGCAATCGCAAATAATCGATAAATACGTCGTCAATACGCTTGTCCGACGTAACTTGAAATAATTTAATTAAGGCAACTGTTGTTACGTTATTAATTTTTCTCGCGTACATATATATATATATATATATATACACACACGTAACACACGATGCATTTTAATAATTGTAACGCTGTACTTTATAGGGTGAACCTTTTCAAAAAATGAAGGATAGATTGCTAAAGAAATTAGGAGTACAGGAAAAAGAATTCGAAAAGGTAGGCATCCTTAGCTAATCTTTTTTGATCTCTTATGAGAATTCATAAAAAAACTTTGAAGTTTAAGTTCGCGGTGGTGTCAATGGGCAAGCCACAGTTCATTATCGACTCGCCGGACTGTTGTATCAAAGTCGACGATTTCCTTCCTAGATTTTCCGGTCAGAGTAAGTATAAATTATGTTTCTATTCTCCATTTTCTAACGCATGCGAATAAAGTGAGCGTCGAATAATCGCATAGTCTCACTATATTTAGTACATAGTACATTGTAATATGATGCTGATGAAGAATAAATTTTGTAGTCTATCCACTTTTAAACGCAGGCACATCGCCACACAGGCCTTGGCTTGGCCTGGAACATGTCAACAAAGCGCCAAAGCGCTCTCGTATCAACTACCTCGAAAAGGCCATTAAGATTTACAATTAAATTTCCACCACACGAAGAAGAAATTAAATTAGGCAGCCACTTATAATAATTTATATACGACTCTGTATAGTAAGAGAATGACGTCTGATATACTAAAGGTTGGAAAATGCTTTTATGTATTCGTTTCTTCAGCCAGATTAAAACTATGCAATTTTAATACTGCGAGAACGATATCGGAAGGTAAATCCAAGCTTTGTATACGATGAATTATAAGATTGTCGTGAAATGTGCAGTGCTATTTTATGCATCATGGAAGAGCGATAAAATAGTTCCTCGATTCGAATTTGTAAAAGTTTTATTGGCCCGATGCTTACTTTGGCGTCACTCAGTACGGATTTTCGCCTAGACTTCGAGAATGTTTGATTATAAAATGCACATACATTGTACCTAATATTATTGTGTCTCTGATAATTCTCTCTAATAAACTATTTCTTTCTTTTTTTTTATTTTATTTTATTAGGAAAACGTGACTTTTGTGTGAGAAATATACCGGCTTTTATCCTATCACGTAAAATCTGTATATAATTGTTACATCCCAAGAGGTACCATATTATGTTCTGCATGATGTAACATTTAACACTCGTAACGTATTATTGGTATCGAGAAAGATTGCCTACACACTCCCCTTTTATGCTGTGTCTGTATTCAGAATATTCAAAATGTGGAGCTTGCCATTAATATTGTGCTAGAAAAAAGAGCGATGTCACATTTTTAATTTACCCGAAGATTTTGTGACGCAAAGTATATCGTCTCATAAAAATTCTAACATTTAAGACAAATCTATTCCATTGATTCGAAATATAATTCAAGAATTTCCTTCTCTTTTGTATTTTCTTCGTATTTTCGAACAAAATCTAGAAAACTATTTTATTTTATGTCGCGTTATAAGAATATAAGAGGATAGAAAGTGCGTAAGCTAAATTTCTAAGTTGCCTTTCCTGGAATATTATTCTTCTTAGAGCATATTTTTTGTGAGTTTTATCTTGTATATTTTTTACTATATAATGCCAGTACGTAAAATGCAAATATAAAAGGGTATATAGATATCTAAAACAAGAAATTGACGAAACGAGCAATGCTTAATCTAGACAAAGAAATTCTCGGTGAGATGCAAACGCTAGTTTAAGCAAATCGCATATAATAACGTATTCGTTTTTTTCTTTTTTTTTTTCACCGCTTCACCTTTAACTGCTCCATTTTTGAGAAGCAATGTGTAGGAGATAATGATTTAATCATCCAGAAATCATCATAGTATTTTCTTATTAAATTGATCATAAATTAGCAACTTATTTTTCCTTTTTATATTTAATTTATAAAATACGACAAAAAAGTAGATCTCGCACGAATGATTTTCAGGAAAGTAACCCGCGTGTTGCGCAAGAGCTCTGCTATTTGCGGATACTTATTTATCATTTTCTACACCTTACTGTGATCAATTCAATTTAGCCAACATGTATTTAAACATCATATATATACTATATATACGCATTAATTATATTAATTATCTCGATCCGTTGTAATATATTACACGTTTGTCTCGCGCGATTAACGGCACTTTTCCCCCAAAAACGCGATAAATTCTACCCAATATATACTATATATATATTCATCACGCATTAATTATCTCGATCCGTTGTAATATATTACACGTTTGTCTCGCGCGATTAACGGCACTTTTCCCCCAAAAACGCGATATATGTACTAAATTCTACCCCGACTAGACTAGTAAGCGATCGAGACTTTAAAACTGGTTGCGATTACATTGCTCGTTATATACAAATTTCGCCGAACCATTGGGCGAGAGTTAGGCTATCATCATCGAAGTCGACAAATAAATTAATACTTTAAATATGATAATTTTTAGTATCATCGACAAAATATATTTAACCGAAAGACTGTCGATCCACAATCGTGAGCGTAGTAGCATAAATTAATATAAATCGCCTATTTTCAATATTTAATTTGTTTTTATTAAAGTAAAGAAAAAAAGTATAGAATAGAATTAGTAAAGAATTATTCGTAATTGGGACAGGATGGTTTGATTTTTTTACCTATTTAATAGTTTAAAAATATATTGGCAGCGATCATTTCGAGTAATCTCGATATTTTTAATACATATAATCATTCTGTACTTAACTCATCTTCCTATAATAAACGGCTGATAGTTCACTGAGTTAAATTTCCACGGCTCCTGGCCACATCAACATGTTTCTTTTAATTCCCGCGTATAAATAAATTAATATTATATATTAATATAATTATTATATTA